ACCTGCAGGTGAACTACTTAAATAGGCACCCAAAAGGTGCACGTGTGGCTTGTTGTATATTCATTGTAACTGTAATAACTAATAATTACTAATAAAAAGTCCTCAGGCCAAGGAGGTCACTTTAATACTGAAAAAAAAAAAAAATCAAAAAGTAATTATAAGAGTGATAATCTAATATATTTGGTAAGTTGTTACTTCCAAGCCTTTTGTAATTAAAGATACAAATTTTGAATTTTATTAGAAATAGTTTAGATAATTATCATGTATTATAATAACTAATCTTTAATAATTAGTTAGGCTCTAGAGCCTATAACTCCAGCCAAACTAGTATATTTTGTATATTAAAATGTTTTAGAAGCATCTGTGTAATACTAGTATTATGCAGAAGAATACAAACTAGTTTAAATAATACAAATCTACAATAAATCTTCTAGAACTATAAAAAAACAAAAAAGAACCAGAAGATTAAAAACTAGTTTAAGAAGTCTCGAATAAAGAAATAGCATGAATATGATAATAATATAGAAAAACTTTTAACTAAAAATAAATACTTGAATTAGAAATAGTGATGAGCAAATATAAATTACAATATAAAGTTATACTGTAACTTATATCTAATAAAGGTAAGTTATATATATATTATATATAATTTTTTTTTTAAAAAAAATTATTTAACACACTTTTCAAATTACTATATTTATTAATTTTATATAATATACTAGAAATTAGAAATCTAGAAAAAAATGCTATGATATAATTGACTAATAACTATTTTTAACCAATTGTAAATTTGTATTTATTTTAAAATTTTGATTTTAATATAATATATAAAAATTATAAATATAGTAATTTGAACTTTTTAATATTAATTAATATAAAATTTAAAATTTTTAATTTATTATATCTAAAGAATACTATATATAAAAAGGTTTATTATAAAAAAAAAATTTAAACAGATACTTTATTTTTCAATTATTATAAAATGTATCTATGATGTTTAGCACTATATATAATTGTTTTTAATAAAATTTAGAGTTAAAATGCATTTTTATGAATTTTTATATATATATATATTATAATATATAGAAAAATATTTTTCACAACCTGCATAATAATGCACTTCCAGATTAATACAGTAGTAAATAATCATATCAATACGTATAATTACAGAATCTCTAATACAACCAGGGCGGCCACCAATTTTACAAATCATGTGGGTTGTGCCAGTTGTAGCAATTGTTGTAAATAAATCAATAGTGCTATCACTAGAAAATTTTTGTATTTGGCACAATATGTAAAAATTTTTAGCAATAGCACTATTGATTCATGTACAACAATTGCTACAAGTGACACAACCCATGCTGCTCTGGTCATATCACAGAATCTTGAAAGTTTTTATATAGACTTAAGTTATTTATAATATACATGACTATTTTATAGGCCTTACACCTTAACAGTCACACAATTTGTCACATTTAAAATTTTATAATAGGGATATTTATAATTACACAAATTAATGAATTTACATTTTTAAATTTTTCTCCTAAAATCTTAGTCTAAGCACATATTTTTTTTCTAAGAAAAGTTATTGCTGAGATTTCTACAAGCAAAATAGAGTAAAAAACACAAAAAATAGATGCCTCCTTATAGAGAACAAAGCCTTCAAAGATAGTAATAATTTTGCCTTCTTCTGTGAGATTATTTTGCAGTTCGCAGATTTTTAGTACAAAAAGTAGATCAATAGATCCATATGAGTGAGGGCTTTCTGCGAACTATAACTTTAATTGGGGTATATTATGAACATGAGGAAAAAGTAATGAAAACCCTTTTTTATACTATGTAGATCGTAGAATTACTAATTCATCCAAGTATGAAGTTATTGCAAGTGTACAATATAATAATTTTAAGATAAGTTTATTAATATAATTTGAAATTTATTATTTTACAACAGACTTCCCACTCATCAGATTTATTATTGATGCAGGCTTATTTATATATATATAAAGGAATCAATTATTTGTACTTCAAACACATCAGAAGGGATGCCATTGGATATTTAACTTAATATATATTAGATAGGAAAACTATTAACATGCAAATATATATTTAATTTAAATTATTCTGTTAATAATTTTTTTGATCATTTATACTGATTATACCATCTATTATAGATTCTTTTTGATATCTAGTATTCAAATGCAATAATTTTCTCTCCAGATCATTGATAATTTTGGTAGGTCATACACTAGAATCTTTATATATCTCTAATTCTTTTAAGATCTCTTTCTTAGCAGAAGTAGTTACATGTATTGCATGTAATATAGATCTTGAAGATGAACTAGCTTTAGAAGATAATACTAATTGCAAGTTTTTATGTGTAGTTTCTTCAGTTTCAGAAAATGATATTGGCTGCAAGTTTTTATCTATAGTTTCTTTAACTTTTGAAGTTTGTACAGACTTACTATCTTTTGCATCTTTTTTAACGTGTTTGATCTTTTTTGTCTTCATAGATATTATGTCTCATTTACCTCATTCTCTTTTTACTTGTGTGACAGTCTTCTTAATATCTTGTTCGACAATGGTATTTATTTTTTTAATTCCAGATTGGTAACAATTAAATATTTAAAAATATCCATTATTTGTTAATTGTGTAGTTATTTTAAATAGATTATATAATTCTGGCTGTGGACTATTAAATGCTAATTTAAGTTTGTTAATTAGTTTCCAAAGAGCTTCTTGATGATTTACAACAGATCAAAGACTTCTGCTCACTGATGAGTTTCCAGAAAATTCTAAAATTAGCAAGTCAAATTATTCACGTTTAGCTTGTGCTGCTTGGATATTTAGCTTCAAATTTTCTAAATTCATCATTGGCCCAGTCATGTTTTCTTTTATAAATTTAACTCCAAAGGTTTTCAAAGTCTCATTAATAGCAAAATAATGCCCTTAATGAGTTATATTTACTGAAAGCACCATTCTAAGATCTTGAAGCAATTGTGGGTTGCTTTGAAGATTTGTTAGGAATTGTGCTACTAACTTAGCATATATCCTTTTCCCAGTTATAGGAAATAAAGGAGTGAATACCATTAAACTATATATTTGTAAGTCAAAATTTCTAATGCAAATTCCAAGCTTGTGCAATTTTAGATATCCCACCTATTAGTAAAAATTGTATCATGTTTTTAATAAATTATTATTGTTTCTTAAAAAAATATCATTAATAGAAATATTTTTTTCCTAAATATATTGGTAAATTGCAACTTAAACTGCTATTCAAATAAGCTCAAGCACTCTAAACATTGCCTGATAGTTAGCAACTTGTTTAAATTTATCAAGGAATTTAACATCAAGCTGTGCAGCAAGCCCAAAAAGACCATAATCTGAAAAGGCTACAATTAGTGCACTGCACATCACTTTGTTTGTATGCCATTGTCCTAGAATATAATTCACTTTTTGGTCTTCATTTTTATAGTCCTTCATATGATGATAGATTGCTTTATCACACACAAAATTTAACATACTGTTTTTCATGTAACCAAAGTCTTCTAAAAATAAATCGACTGTCTGATAAACATGTTCATTTTTATTTAGAGTGTTACCTGGTCCAAGTATCACAGCATTTAGTAGTTTTACAAATTTTGCTAAGTCAAAATGCTCTTTAATAGCTGTGTTAAAATCTTTAACATTGAATTTATGCTCTTGAATAACTAATCAATTTAAGACTTTATCAATTTTTTTTTGCTATTTTTCTATTGTAGAACTTATACAAAAAAGATATTGATTTTCTAACGGTTCTTTATTGAAATCAACAAGTTCTAGATGTTGAGACTGAATAACTATTTTTATTGTTACATGTGCATTTGCATGAGGTACATCAAAAATATTACTATACTGGAAGGTCTTGTTTTTCATATTTTTTTTTTTTTTTAACTTAGGCGGTTTTGCCCTTCATTTATTCATAGACAGTAAATATATAAAATTACTTTAGCTAATTATAAA